TTTCAGGAAATGGATAAGAGTTCTTTACAGCGATGCACAAGGGCAAGTGCAGGTCAATGGACACTTATCTTCCATTTACAGGATGACGAGGTCGGTCAGTCAAGGAAACCCCCTAGCCACTCCGATATTCCTCTTCATAATGGAGGCAGTAGCATCCTTTCTACGTAAAGACCCATCAATCCAAAGGCTTGTAACAGACCCGGAACAGCAGGGACATAATATACAGCTTCCCACAGTTCTCCTCTTTGCAGACAACCTGACGGTGCTCATAAGGGCGACGGACTCATCGTTCCTCGCACTGACGAAAGCTATGGAAGCCTTCCAACTTGCGTCAGAAATGAAGATCAACTGGCAGAAAACCGAGGGGTGGTGGTTAGTAGATCAGGATCTGGAGGATAACCCACCTTCTATTACTCCGGAGGGGTTGAGGTGGACAACAGCGCGAGTTCCCATCAGATATTTAGGTATCAAGATTACGGAAGCGGGGGCACATCACTCGATGGCGGCGGATCTAATGGAAAAAGTTCTATCCAAGCTGGGATCTTGGTCGGCAGTATACACTTCCATATACGGGAGAGCCCTCATACTCAACGCCTCCATCTTCTCCATGTTATGGTATGCAGGTTCAATATGGACACCACCGAAGTCCGCGGCAACGGTATTGAGAAGAAGAGCGGCTGCCTACCTTTGGACATCCAAAACTACGCAGACTAACTTTATATCCAAAGTAGCATGGAAACATGTCACTACTCCAAAGAATCAGGGAGGGCTGGGTATACTAGATCCAGACACCCAGCTTAAAGCACTGCAAACCAAATGGGTAGTGAGACTGTTAACCCAACACAAGCTACCATGGATTCCTCTGGTGCTGCACAGGATAAGACAAATGGCTAAATTTAAAACACCGCGGAATATGTCTGGGTTGTTTTGGGTAATGTGTGGCAATTGGGCAAGAGTAGGCAGAAAGGAGCGGAGAAATCAGGAGGACGATATTGAAGCCTCGAGAATGTCCTATTGGGAACAACTATTGAAGTTATGGAAAGATATCTTCCCGGCAAAAGTGAAGGAGCCAAACACGAAGGAAGAAGTACTTAGACAACCTTTATTCGGCAACCCCAGTATTAAGGACGCACAGGGGAAGCCACTCACGCTATCAATAAAAGACGCAAAGTGGGGAATGTGGCTAGAACACGGGGTTTGGCAGATAAAGCACATTTGGGAAGAAAGGGAAGAGAGATGGAAAACTGTTGGAGAACCGAGGACAAGCTTAAAGGGTTGTCACCGATTGGCTGACAACCGTAGAGTCATATTGGGAGCCATACCACAAACATGGCAGCTATTGCTATGGGGAGGAAACCAGTGGGGACAAGGGGACTGGGCCACATGGAGTGAGGATAACGAACCCAAGGAAGCCTTCAGGATCTGGAACCAGGATACTTCAAGACAAGATTGGCGACATGCAGACAAGTACGCTATAGTCCATCCTTCCAACACAACTTCTCTCCTGGACATGACATCCAAAGTCCCGATAGTCATTCTTAAACAATACCTCAGGAAGGTAAGGGTACTAGAGGCGAATGAATACACAATATATTGCCCAACAGTGCCGATTGAAGACTTGGAAGTGGATCCAGCAGAATGGGCATGAAATCTAAGGAGTAGAGGAACAGGTGTAGCAAGAAGAATTGACATTCTACACTATACCACCAAAATTGGATATAGATTAAGGAGGAGGTCTCACACGCTCACGCCTCATCTGCTCAAGGGTTGGGAAAAGAGAGTAGAAGTACCTGGTAATCAATTGGTCAAATTGCCATGGTCAAGCATTACAGCTATACGTCTAGGTTCAGTTAGAAGCATGCAATGGTTAATAGCTCATGTGGCGCTCCCTATTAATGTATGGTTGGATGAGCGTAGAAACTCGAGACTGAGAAATGCGGAGAGCGCAATATGCAGGGTATGTCGAAGGGGAATTCTAGAAACAATGCAACACTGCCTCTTGGAATGTGAGGAAGCAAACATGATGTGGGGGGAAGTAAAGACCATATGGAACCAGATTTCAAGGGATACCTTCCCTGATTCCAAAATCTGTCTTTTCTTGGGACTCAATATTCCGAATCATTGGCAGTCTTTTGAGAAACACATGTTTAAATTGATACGCCAATATGGCCTCTGGACTATCTGGAAGCGCCGGTGTCAATTCACTATTCAAGGGCGACCAATGCACAAACAGGAAGCCAGGGAAATATTTCTCACGCTGCTTGAAACGGATCTCAGAGCGCAGTGGAAAACAGTAAAGAAGCAAATAACCCTCCAACCGGGACAGGAGGAAGAGATAACGAAACGCTTTGCTCATAACATACTGGGGCAAGGAGCAGTGGCAATCATAAAGGGTAACAATTTGTACTTCAAATGGAGGACATAGATTTCAAGGCGGTTACATAGTTGATACTGGAACTACGGTTTTTGGAGAATAGCATCATGAGATTTTGACAGAAAATAGAAAGGGTTTAGGGTTTAAGGGTTGCAGATACAAAAAAGCAACCGGACTGATGTTTGAGTGAAAACAGCGACAGATTTAGGAAAGGTAATTTCTACCTGGATGTCCAGTTATCGATAAATCAGGACAGCATCCAGACATAGGGTTTAGGGGTTATGGCTTAGACAGGAACAATGCTAATGCTGTTATAGAACTAAAGAGGGTTCAAAAGGCGCATAAATGTTCCAGAATGCTCTTGTATAATCATGGATACCCGGCAGCTTCATAGCTGAGGGGAGCAGATCCGGGATCAGACAGATTGGCAGGCAGAGTAAGTACAGGCTAGATTAGGCAGAGGTGAGAGGTGGTACATCCTTCCTCATGGAAGTAATCAATGCCGCCCACTCGGGCCTCTCAGCCATAATGGGGAGGAGCGTGTGTGAGTCTTTTATGTAWTCCATATTGACTTGCCGGGGGAATAGGAACCGGACTGTC